CCTACATCAGTGGTGTGCTACGTTTTTTAATCCACGATCGCCAAAATTATTATTCTGATGATATGACCCCCCCATTCCTACCAACATTATGTAAGTGTATAATATACCCACTTTATGGTCTTAATGTATACAAAAATTGTATTAATAAAATTAAATCGTTAATTTTAGGCAGTTTTAATATGTCTTTAATTTAATTAATTCAAAACATAAAAAAAAATAATACAAAATTAAACTTTTATAATATCAGAAATAAATAAAATTACTGGAGTCATTATAATTATAATCAACATTTTAATATTTTTAAAATTATACAATTTCTAGGTTAGGTTAGGTGATTACATGATTGGGGGAGATGATGGAAGCCTGCTCGTGGCCTCCCCTGCATTTACTAGTATTCTTTAACGGTAACAAGCATAAACAATATACTAGCAATACAAATCAACACTAACAACGCCTAACAAAAATGGTCCTTTAAAGGACCACTTGACGCTAAATATTGGTACTTATCTTAGGATATGTCACCTCAATATTGAGGGTATCTCAAAAGCCAAATGTGAGATATTATCAAAAATCATGATCAACAATAAAGTGGATGTCATTGCCCTTCAGGAAACACACACAACTGACGAAGCCGATTTGCAAAAACGAGGATACATAGCTGGATACACATTAATTGGAGCCATCAATCATAAGCAATATGGTATAGCAACATATGTCAAAAATGATATTGATACAGCGAATGTAGTCTACAGAAGCCATTTGAATAACATAGAAATATTAGCAACTACAAAAGATAACGTCACAATAATAAATGTATATAAACCACCTAATGCCAATTGGGAAAACCCGCCCGTGAAACTATTCGATCACCCAGCCGTGTATATAGGTGACTTTAACAGCTACAACAGTGATTGGGGCTATGATCAAAATGACGATAACGGAGAAGTGCTCCGAGAATGGATTGCTCTACACAATTTGGAACTTAACTATAACGCTAAGGATATGGGAACTTTTAAGTTAGCCAGATGGCGCAAAGACTACACCCCTGATCTTAGCATTACATCAAGGAATACCTTAGACGGTCTTACAATAGCGACAAGACATATATTTGGAGACTTCCCTCATAGCCAACACCGACCTGTATTATTGGAATATGGCCTAAAAGTACCATTAGTTCATTTTTTACCAAAACCGCGGTGGAATTTTAGAAAGGCAAAATGGGTCGAATATGCTAATGAACTAGACCATGTAATCCAATGGATACCACCAACAGTAAACTGCTACGAAAGATTCATTGGTGCAGTCAAAGCAACAGCGTATAAACATGTTCCAAGAGGGTTTAGAAAACAATTCATCCCGGGCTGGGATGAATCATGCACCGAACTTTTCGAAGAGTTTCAAAAAACAAAGTCCAACAATGATACTGATAATCTTATAAATGCTCTAAACACAAAAAGAAAACAAAGGTGGCAGGAAACCACTGAGAAGATGGATTTTAAGTACTCAAGCCACAAGGCGTGGGGTCTTCTCAAGAGAATGGGGGCTGTTAACCAGGGTAGCATGAAACAACACACAACCAACCCGAATCAAGTAGCTACCAGACTAACGGGAATGAGTAAACTAGCAATGGACAAGGAACACGCACGAATAATTAAATCAGAATTAAGACGCCGCAAAAAGGCACTAGAACCTCATACTTCGCTTGGAGCAGATTTCTCACTCGAGGAAATAAATAATGCTTTAAGGAAAACTAAAATAAATAAAGCTGCCGGATATGACGAAATTTACTCAGAATTTCTTAAATTCTCTGGACCAAAAACCCGTGCATGGTTAACATGTTTTTATAGCGAAATACTTAGAAGTGGTCAGCTGCCAAAACTTTTCAAGAGAGCTAAGGTCATTGCCTTGCTTAAGCCCGGGAATGATGGTCTTGACGCTGCAGATTTCCGTCCAATATCACTTCTGAGTGTTCCATTCAAGTTACTCGAGAGAATTATCTTAGAACGCATACAGCCCCATATCGAAAAACTAATTCCAGTTGGACAGGCAGGATTTCGAGAAAATAGGGGCTGTGAGGAACAGGTACTTGCGCTTACAACCCTAATTGAAGCGGGATTTCAAAACAAGTTAAAATCCAGTGCTGCATTTGTCGACCTTTCTGCTGCATATGACACGGTTTGGAGACACGGACTTATGTATAAATTTAGCAAAGCTATACCTTGTAAAAATCTTGTAACTCTCCTTGAAAATATGCTAACTAACTGTCGCTACCAGGTTTTTATGGGCTGCAAAGGAAGTAAATGGCGCACAGCAAACAATGGTCTCCCGCAAGGTTCAGTACTTGCACCAACCCTATTTAACCTTTATCTGCATGATATACCAAAAACCAAAGGACTTATGTTCCAATATGCTGACGACATTGCTATCGTACACCAGATCAGGGAATTAAAAGACGGGAGCAACACATTAAACGACGGTCTTGCTACACTAGGCGATTATTTTTATAAATGGCGACTAAAACCCAACCCCACGAAAACGGAGGTGTGTGCATTCCATTTAAATAATAAACAAGCTTATGAAGAACTAGAGGTGGTTTTCAATAGTGTACAAGTCCAACACAGTTTCAAACCCAAGTACCTAGGAATTACTCTCGACCGCTCACTTACCTTTAAAGAACACATCGAAAATACAACGAAGAAGCTACATTCACGCATCAACATAATACAGAAACTTGACGGTACGGGCTGGGGAGCAGATGGCAGGACTCTAAGAACAGCTACGTTGGCCCTAGTTTACAGTACCGCAGAATACGGTGCTCAAGTCTGGTGTAACAGTACACATACGAAAAAAATAGACACACAACTCAACATCGAAATGAGAATAGTTAGTGGAACAGTGAAAAGGACACCGACACAAGGTTACTAGTCTTAATTAATATTCTGCCACTAACATTACGCAGCAAGGAGGCACTGCTTAGAACAACAACCAAAGCTGATAAGATGAAAAGGTCCCTGTTATACCAAATGCTGAGAAATACACCTAACCTCAGGCTAAAATCAAGGAAGCCCCCGTAGACCACAGCTAAGGAGTCGGCACTATCAAACTTTGAGGGTACAAAAGAATGGCGCGAAAACTGGACATCAACAGATGCAGAAAATAGTGGTCTAGTGTCAGACCCTAATAAAGGTGTAGAAGGCATGGATTTACCACGAGATGTATGGTCCGTACTTAATAGAATCCGAACTGGTCACGGCCGGTGCGGCTCCATGATGTCCAAATGGGGTCTTAAGGACAGCCCTACGTGTGATTGCGGTCACGATAACCAAACAATTCACCATATTGTGGAAGATTGCCCGAAAAGGAGGTTCAATCGGGGCATTGAGGGAATTCATGCGGCAAATAATGAAGCATTAGAATGGATTCGAGAACTAGACATTGCCTTATGACTATGGATTTTATCTGTAAATAATGACCACGTGCCCCTACTTTTATTATTTATTTATTTAATTTATTTTCATTTTATATATTCATTATTATTTATTATTATTTATATATTCATATATTCATTTTATATTTTTAATTGTAGTTATTTTTATTTTTATTTTATATTCATGTTATGATTTNAATTACTGGAGTCATTATAATTATAATCAACATTTTAATAAATTTAAAATTATAAAATTTCTAGGTTAGGTAATGTGATAACATGATTTAATGGTATTAATGAGAGACCTGAGCTTACATTGAACAAATGATTGATTCTGTATTTGGTTTGATAATTGACACTGCTAATCTTAAATAAATGTTTAAAATAATATACCTACATATCGTATATAACTTTTTAATTTGGTGTTAAATTATTGGTAACACCCCAATATAATTTCACGACCCCCAGGTTACATACCACTACCCTACATTGATTATTTCATAAGTGAACTGGAAGACAGATTTTTGTCGCACTCTGGCATTTTTAAAGGTAGTATAATAGTTTAGTGTATAGTAATAATATATTATAATAGTTCCAATATTAATACAATTACCTGCGTCTGGATACTAGAGACTATCCTTTTCTTAGCTTCTTCTACGTTAGTTTGTTTACCACTCACTATGAAAGTCATATCAGCTTTAGTCTTTGTGGTGCTAATTTCGATATGAACTCCTGTATCGATGATTATCTTCTTACAAAAACTTTTGGCGTTTGCAACGTTAACCACTTTACCGTTATCAAATTTCTTGCCGAGAATTGAAACGGTAAATACCTGAAAAAAAAGTATATCATTTTTTGGATTTTGTCGATAATTTAAACACATTTGCAATCAGATTTCAAAAAGTATCATTAAACAGATACGATATGTACTTTTATAATTTGAAAACTGACGATGAAACAAATAATTACGAGGCTATTAAATAACGAGTACTTGATTAATGTTCGAAGTTATAGAAAATTGTCAAAAGCGAAGGTCCAAAACCCTCTGCTTATTCAACTCAGGAAAAGTATTGTGGTAGTTGTATCCAGCCATTGTTATTGTTTTCTTGGTGCTTTCGAAACTATAAGTATATTTATTATGTAAATTGAAATGTTTAGGTTTCAAATGATAATAAAAAACTATTGTAAATATAATATTACAATGATATCCTATAGTAACATATATGTAGTCATTGCATCATATTTATATTTGTTCCTATGGTAATTTAAAAGCCAACATGCCACCGTAGTAGGTGTAATTTTGGGAATTTAGAACATAATTTTTTTNTAAGAAAATTAAAACATCAAAGAAATGATCCAAATAAAACTATTGAAACTAAATTTCATGAAAACAATAAACAGAAAATAGCAAATACCATCTATAAACCTAGGAAAAAGAGAACAGTAAAACCCAACAAAGTTTTTTGTGTATATCCTAGAATGACAATTTTTCCAAAAAAACAAAGGTAAAAAGACCGTAGCAAAACATACTTTGAAGATAGTATTCCAACACACATAGTATTCTCAAAGTTTGATGATAGTTTATTTGAAAGAGCTTCTGTATTAAAGACTGTTAAAAACTGGTATAGAATTAGAATCGATAACAGATATTGATTTATATTTAATGTTTGAACAAGGAATAAGAGGAGGATTATCTCAATGTAGTATTAGATATTCTAAAACAAATAATAAACACAAGAAACCATAAAGATATAAAATTANCGTAGCAAAACATACTTTGAAGATAGGATTCCAACACACATAGTATTCTCAAAGTTTGATGATAGTTTATTTGAAAGAGTTTCTGTTTTAAAGATTGTTGAAAACAGGTATAGAATTAGAATCGATAACAGAAATTGATATATATTTAATGTTTGAACAAGGAATAAGAAGAGGATTATCTCAATGTAGTATTAGATATTCTAAAACAAATAATAAACACAAGAAACCATAAAGATATAAAATTAATTAATAATGAAGAAAAATTAGAAAATTAAACTGCTAAACCAAATTTTGATCGAGCGACTTTTATTACAGAAAACTTAGTTGCTGTACATATGAAAAAAACTATGGTTAAACTAAAACAACCAATTTATTTAGGAACGTCTATTTTAGATTTATCTAAAACTCGAATGTATGATTTTTATTATAATGTATTAAAAAAGACATAAGGAAAAAACATTATACTATTGTACACAGATACAGATTCTTTAATAGTAGAAATGACAACTGAAGATTTTTATACAAATGTAAAAAACAATAAACAACTTTTAAATGAATTTGATTTTTCAGATTATCCAGAGAATAATAAATATGGAATACCACGAATAAATAAAAAAGTTCCAGGTAAATTTAAAGATGAACTTAATGGTCAAATAATGATAGAGTTTGTTGGGTTAAGATCTAAATTATATACATATAAAATTTTTGAAAATAAAAATGAAATTAAAAAAGCAAGATGTGAAAAAACCTATAGTAAAAAATGAATTATGTTTTAATGATTTTTATAATTGTATAAACAATAAAATTCCAAAATATGTAAAACAGAACACTTGTAGAACAGATAAACATGAAATTTATACTGTTGAACAAAATAAAAAAGCCCTTAGTGCATATGATGATAAAAGATATNATAGTTAAAAATGAATTATGTTTTAATGATTTTTATAATTGTTTAAACAATAAAAATCCAGAATATGTAAAACAGAACACTTGTAGAACAGATAAACGTGAAATTTATACTGTTGAACGAAATAAAAAAGCCCTTAGTGCATATGATGATAAAAGATATATTCTAGAAAACGGTATTGATACTGTAGTTTGGGGACATTAATCAACTAAAATAAAAAGAGAAAATTTCAGAGAATACCTTGATAATTTAATAAAATCAAATAATTAAAAATAATGTTAATTTAAATATTATGAAATATAATTTTTCAAATATAATTTTTATTTTATGCATGTGAACAAAGAACAGGAAATAAAACAATGTAAATATAGATCAGAAATTAGTTTTAAAGTAAAAACTATCAGAAGTGTCCCAGAATCGGCATATTGATACTACTTACGTGCAATAAGGATAAAGGATAATTATAATAAGTGTCATGAAGATAATACCATTATAAGTTTTGATTTGTGATTTTTGATAGTCTTCGACATCCTAGATATCAGGCGGATTGTGGATCTTTATGAAGGATATGACATTTTTAAACTTATATCAAATACTTATAATCTATTTGTATAGGTAAATTACGTGCTTGAACAATTTATTAAAAATGTTANTAACGTGCAATAAGGATACTAATAACGTGCAATAAGGATAAAGGATAATTAAAAACGTGCAATAAGGATAAAGGATAATTAAAATAAGTGTAATGAGGATAATACCATTATAAGTTTCGACTTGTGACTTTTGATAGTCTTCGACATCCTAGATATCAGGCGGATTGTGGATCTTTATGAAGGATATGACATTTTTAAACTTATATCAAATACCTATAATCTATTTGTATAGGTAAATTACGTGCTTGAACAATTTATTAAAAATGTTATGTCTAGCGTCTAATCGCGGGGTGTTCAAAATAACAAAATTAGTGTCCAAACGTTTTTAATATTCAGGTAAAAATTCAATGTAATGCCAAATACTTTTTGCTCATATGACATTAGCTAATATTTTAGTTATAACTATAATAGGAAAAATTATTTTTTAGCTATTTCAAGGCATAAGATATGCAGGAAAGTATTATTCAATTAAAATATTGTAATTCTATTTTTATAACGTTTGTTTTACAATCTGTACCAATATATTATACGAGTACGACCTAAAAACTTAATCTAATTTGTTATGCTATTATAGTACGTATGTATACTATATTAGAATATAATACAAACGTCAATATACATATTTTATAGATCGACCTAGAGAATTTTTTAGGTGTGGCCAAGTATATTATTATTATAATAAACAATTGTTTTAACATTCTTGCGTATATATGCACGGTAATTGTTTTTTTTTGGTTTTTTGTTCTTTCAATATTTGACGAAAACGGTAAGTCCTAATAATAATCCAATCAAATTTGGTTTGGTTTAGGAAACTATGTGTAGGTGCGTTACTTAAGCACTTAAAATCGACTCCCAAGGGCTTGAAAAATATTTAAGAAAAGTAAAAACGCGTAAAAAGTTTTTTTTTTCAAACCGAATTTAACAATAACAAAAAACATAATTTCTTTCAAATGTCCTGAACCCGTTGTAACACGACATAAATGTCCATAGCTGTCCGCTCGACTGACGTTTGCATATGATATTAGGAGTGTGACTTTTTTACGCGAGTACGCATTTAAATCAAACACCTAGTACGTGTAGGCGGATATCGTGAACACGTAACGTTTAACAAAAATATAAAACACGTATGATTAATAGAAATGCTAAAACGCGTAAACACGTAAATTCGGTATTGACGTGAATAATATTTGAATTGATATCAATTGAAAATGTATTATTTATATTAAAAATATTTATTTATAATACGAGTCAAATCATCTTTAACCTATATGAATAAAAATATAAAACAAAATATGCGAATACACCAATTCACGGGTATACGTGAACATAATAATAATTCATGTACCGATACACGCGAATAATAATTGTAAAACGGTTTTATAAGCCGAACTTTAATTTCACGTGTATTTACACTACGAACCGATGAGTATTAATTTTTTACGTCCCGGTGCAAAATACAATCGCTCTGATCCACCAGATAGTAGTTGTAGGTGTGCATCTATGCCAGAACATTTTCCGTATTTTTCTTCTTTGTTTCTCGTTTCTCTAAATATCGTTACCCGAAATCGTCGTACAGTTTGAATTTCGCCGCCGAAATCAACGATTCCCTCCCCTCCATTTCTTTAGCCCCATTATAAACGCGCCGCTGTGTATAATATAATATGATCCATTGTACCGAGCTACCTATAATGTGATACCACAATACTCGTATATTGCAGACTCGCCTAAATCCGCGTGGTCTGGCGCGTACAGACGTCTCGGCAAAAACCGTCCGGTACGTATGCGGGTACGTGGAATATTAAAATATTATACGGTTAGGTTCCGCGACTTTGCGTCCCGTCGATAGGTGTCCGCCGGACGGTTTGCAATGGATTACGATAAGACGGTTTTTTTTTTTTTTTTAATCGCTTTTCCCGCGTTTTATTTCGCGCGCATAATCACATAATAATACAATCGTATGCCGTCGTCGTCGCGCACTGTTTAAACTGTCGTAACGACCGGCGCTGCACGTGTTTTTTTCACTCTCTCCGCGTATTGCGCTCGCGAACTCGTGCGTATATCAACGGCGTCAAAATCCGGCCGAGGGTCCGGTCGTCGCCCCGCGCTTACACGGTAAACTATAATTCCGATCCCGCAACGGCGTACACGAAATTAGCGATTCTTGCGCGGGTCAGGTCTGGTTTGAGTATTATAATTGTCGTCAGTGGCGTGGCGAAGTGAGATATTTTATCGGGCAATTCATTTTTTTTTAATGGCCTACCACCACCCCTCGACTCTTAGGCATTGATCATTATCATTACCCATGAATAAATGTACAGTATTCTGGGCTGATGGCTTTTCCTAGAATACTTATTATTAATTTTATTATTCTTATTTAATATCATATGACATATTCTGACGAAGTTAATCTTGTACTACAATTTCTCCACATGCGTACCAAAATGCGCCAAAGTAACAAAAATTGTAGGTATGCTTACTGATTAATAGTATTTATTTATTTATTTATAATAATAAATATCGCAAAACCACGCGCTGGCTTATAATGTTAGCAATAATATTATTTTGTTTATTGTACGCGTATTTAATCGAATCATAGTAAATTATGATTCTTAAATTTGTTTATCCATTGTCGTTTATAAATTTTTGTTTTTCTGAATTGTTTTATAATCATTTCTTTAAAATTTTTCAATAGTTTAATTAGTTTTTTTCATCGGTATAATAATAGTGTTTTTTTCTATCTTTTCGTAAATCTTTTTTTTTCTTTTATGGTTTTTTATCGGTTTTTTGCACGCAAACTCTTCGAGCCAAGATTGCTGGTAGCTGCGGATGACTTNTCGTAAATCTTTTTTTTCTTTTATGGTTTTTTATCGGTTTTTTGCACGCAAACTCTTCGAGCCAAGATTGCTGGTAGCTGCGGATGACTTCAAGGAACGGGATTCGGAATTCGGTGATCGTATTACATTATAGAGTGTAATATTATGGATTTAAGGTAAGGTTAGGTTAATCGACACAGTGGATTAGGCCTATTCGGGGACACCACTATAAAAAAAACGCGCCTCGTGTAAAACCTCATACGCTTTTCGAATAACGTCAAATACTCATAATAATATTTCATTGGCGTTTTTCGATAGCCAAGGTGGTGTGGAAAATTGCACACGGGTCTTATCTATATCTTTATTTTAATCATTCCATCATTCCATCGATATTTTAGGCAGTTTATATTATTTTCTTCAATTATATTTGTTTAATAGTATACCGATTTTCCTACGTTTATTCGGATTTTCCGATGTTTTTTTCCCGGTTTTTGACATTTGATGAGAAAATGCCTGTGAAAATCGAAAAATGACCTCCTTATAGTACCTTCCCAATCCAATTTTAATTACAATTATACATTGAATTACCTATAGCAGTGGTTGCACCAGTTTCCATTATTCTAGGACTGCTTTTTTCAATTTTTGTCGTTTTTGAACTGGGGGTGCTTCATCACCCCAAAGAATCCTCACCCTCCTAGTTGTACCCATGCCCATAGGTATGTTTTAAATTGTATTATTAAGCAGGTAGGTACTTGCACAGTTAATCCTAATTCAATTAAGTTTGACTTCACTGTTACAGACATATAGAAAAATAAAAAGTACACATATCCACATAGGTACCTAATAAAACTTATATATTTTTCACTATATTCAGATTTTGCAGCACTGCATATAATGTATTCTGAATACCTTTTCGTCAATACTGGGAGTCAAATGGGATTTATGAAAAAAAATCCTATCGTTTTCAAATATCTACCTACTATATATTATTGCCATAAGATTCATATTTCATAATCATCTCTCTCAACTATTATAAGGTTTAAAAGTTCAATCCGTTAACGAAGCAACCATGAAAAGAAAACACCTATAATAACCTATTTAAAATACGAATTAAGATATACGTGATAATATATTCTTTATTCGTGTTTTCAACACTATTTTTTATAAATATGTTTTTTTTACATTAAATGTGTTCATTCATATTTTATAAATAACTACTCTAATATTATTTACACGAATACCTAACTTCAGGAAGAGGATTGATGTTTTTATTTTCAAAAATGTTTAAATTTGGATCTGGTTAGTGCATTGAGGAGATAATTTTTGATTTTTTAATGGGGTTTCAAAATAATTGAGAAAAATCCGAAACAAAGTTTTAGGAAAATCGAGTAAATATTTATGGCGTGTAGCAATGTTACCAATTTCATTGTTTTTAATTTGTATACATTATGTTTTCTACCATAATTCATAAATATTGTTTCAATAAAAATATTTTAAGTGATCTTTTTTATTGATTTTGATATCTACACATATTAGTTGATTAGGTCAGGTTAGATTGATTTTTCGTGTAGATTTAATGATCATTTGAACAAATTGGAAAAAGACGTAAAATGACAAATTTAAGGCGATTTACAAAAAAATATGATTGAAAATCACAATCGACAATGAAGATACAATTGATAGAAACGATACTTACAAAAATATATTATATACCTATACGTTTATATACGTATCTACCGATGCAAATTTGAATATTGTTCAAAATAGTCCAAATTTCAAATGTGATTGTAGGGACCAACTCGGTGTACTTGATAATTCGCTCGATACCCATTACACAGGCGTATATAATACGAGTAGATACTACGGGAGCCATCTTGTTTGATGTTTTGTGAGAGGGGGACACGCATGTAGAGAAAAATAAAATGTTTATTTTCATCCCTTAATCACTGAAAAAAATCACTAAATTTTTAAAATTTTTATAATAACCATTTTGTAAAAAATATTATTATACAAATTTCAATGTATCATACATTCATATCCGACAAATAGTTTCTTAGTTATAGCTTATAGCGGCTTAAATGTATAGAAACTAGGCGTGAATAAAATTAATATTAAATAAATAAATGTTCAATAGAGGATACAGAATTTCCGTACTGATTGTTGTCTCTTATCGCGTAACGTGTTATTCTATTGACAATTAATTGTTTTCACACATAATTTCTGTACATCAAACATATTATTCATTACTAAGAAATCTAATCGGATATGAATGATATGATACATTGAAATTTATGGAATAATATATTTCACAAAATGGCTATTTTGAACATTTTATTTTTCTCTACATATGTGTCATCCTCTCATAAAATCCGATAAAAAAAAAAAAAAAAAATGAATATTGACCGCAGAGTTAATAGCTAACGGATAATATTGCAGGACACTCTGTATATGGAACGTGTACAATGTTACAAAAGAAGGTTATGCTGGGACAAACGACGCAATGCATTTGCAGAGACTGTGTAATATATACCGAGTAATTCATTTAAGTGAAAACACTCATTATCTCGGCAAGTTTTAATTTTTTTTGGAATTTATTCTCAAGAACATTTAAGAAACAACATTAACATTTTAGATAAAATAAATTTGAGTGTTCAAATTTTTTATTTCTGTCAAGCCGTTGACGAGATACTCCACTTTAAACTTTTGGTTGGAGGAGAGTAGTGGAGCATTAATAACCGCCACACAAATGACACTCCACTACTCTCCTCCAACCCAAACTTAAAAGTAGAATATCTCGTCAACGGATCAACGGAAATCAAACATTTCAACACTGAAATTGATTTTAACTAATACTTTATCTATAGATGGACTTTTTAATATAGGTTGCTATCTGAAAATCCAAAGTAGGTAGTGGTTTTACCCCCAAAAATAAGGGTGACAAAAATTACATAAATATAAAATTGTAGAGCAGCTTATTTTTTATATGTTTTAGAAAACAAATTCCTAAAAAAGTTAATCATTTCCGTGAAAACGAGTGTACCCACTTAAATGAGTCATCTGGTATATAAATATATATAAAAAAATTTAAATAAAACAAATAGTTTAAAAGAAAAGGAAATACAATTATATTATTTATGACGATATTTCATACTATGTGAAACACATGTTAGTTGACTTAAAAGTAAGTTAAAAATTAAAACAAAAATTAAAATTTATTTTTGATTGAATTAGGAATATGTTTTTGCACATTTTAGTTTCTATTTAATTTTATTTTGACTCATTATTTGAAATTAAATTTTACCGCATTATTGTTATTGTAAGTAACTAATTTAAAAAAGATATTTACCGTAATTCTAACTAATTTAGTTTGAATTAAGTAATAATTATTAATTTATTGATTTAATTAGTATAATATATATATTGAATGATAATAATTTATTTTAAGGTATTTCAGATTTTTATTTTTCATGTTCTTCTTCTGGTGATATTGTGTTTAATAGAGTTTAATTATGTTTCCCAAGTTTTTCAGATTTTTAGGTCACCAGCATCGTCTTTAGGAAAAAAGTTAAGGTTTTTGTTTTTTTTTTTATATGTGTGTAAATAATAATAATTTTCAAGGAGAGATCATTAGATCTCATTGTATCTATTAATCGCTGAAAATTTTGATTGCGTAATAAAATGTGTGATTACAATAATTAATGAATATGAATTGTTATCTTAAATTGTAATAAGAAATTATCATTATTGATATACTAATATATTTTTACACCAGTTTATAGTAAATTTCTCAAAATATACCTGTTTAATTTTTAAGGGGAAATCTCTAGTGAATTTTTTGATAAGTAATAATAATTTAAAAATTCGGAGAATCAAACATACAATTAAAATACCCCGAAGATCAAACGTCCTATGGCTAATAACTCTCCAGAACCAAATGTCCCACCTTAATAATTCCCGAGAACGAAACGTCCATAAACTTAATTTTTTGACGGAAACGAAACAACCATTTACCGATCTATGGTATACAATTATAAATTACAATAATAATTCACACGTTATATCATGATTATAAACAAAATTGTTTTTTTAAGCTAACATGTCTTAAGCAAATTATTCAAATAGCTACCTAAATTAATTTTTGGGGTCTACGAATAGTTAAAAAATATTTAATGGAGTACCCAATTAACGTGGACTATAATACAACTTGTATGATTAGTAAACATTGCGAAAAACTGGAAAACATATTGAGTATTTGTGTTATCAGGTGTATTATCACAATAGTTATGGTATTGTTTTCAATATTTATTGAATCAAAATCGGGCCATAATATTCTTAATCCGATAAGTGGTTGTTTGTCGAATCGACGTTTCTGCAACGGTCAATAATTTATTTATTTATTATTTTTTTTCATCATGGCCTATACTATATTTTAATGCTTATTATGATAATATCAATAATAATGTATTATTACATGTTTAAATTATACGTTATTGTAATTTTCTTCCACATTGCTCGACGATTCAAAATTACTTTTCTTTTATTCTTCGTGATATTCCGTTTAGTTTTTTTTTTCGCGAGATTACGTTCGTCCCTTTGCGTACGTCCGACCTGTACATCGTCCCGTTCGCCAGCCGTCTCCTGTGGTAACGATGGAAACACTCTGGGCGGTGAATAGCATGAGAGTTTTGTAAATAGTTGACTATCCATTTCTTCGAACACTCGCTCCAAATCTGATCGATCAGTGTCGTCCTCTCTGTCTGGCGTCAACGGTGTTTCTAGTTCCAAATTTATGAAGTCGTCGATATTTTTTAAGATGTCCTCTTTGGATTCCATGTTTTCTAAATTTATATTCAAAACAAACGATAGATGTATGTAATACGTATGCGTTATTTATTAGGGATTATATAATATTATATGATATTGATATAACATTATAATTTTTTTAAAATCTAAATAGATTGCCATATGCAGCGGCGTGACTAGGATCTATCAATGGACGGAGGGGTTAAAATACTCAAAACTCTCTCTGGCTACGCCACTGGTCATATGTTTTATTTCATTTTAGGAAAGTATTCAAAAAATAGTCTAATTATAATTACGGTTACACCTTGTACCGTTTCTGAACTGCGGTTAATTGTACCTGCTCTAAGCTATATAACCGTATTTCCATTTATTACTCATATTTGTATTAGATCATATAGTATTATGGCCCTTAAATATCAAAATTTCTTCAATTGGTCCCGATGACAAATTATGAGTCTTTATACTTATCAAAACTTCAAATTTTAAATAATTTTACCGAAGAACAACATATTAAAATATTATTGTATTGCGGTTTATTGATTGAATATCATTAAACGTAACGTAATCTCATTAATATGATTAATATATTCTGTTTAATATTATTAATACGAACAAATAACATTAAGAATGTAATCAACGTTTATATTCAAGTCGACTGTGAACTGACCAATGACCGGGAAATGCATAAAACGTCAAAATTTTGCGGCCAATGAATAATTTCCCACATTCGAATCTGCACGTAATATAATAGTATACAATAAATAAAAACGCACATACATTAAAAAAGGTGTAAATGTAATATTATTTTGTCATATAATTATAATAGTATTATGCCTTACCTTGGACTGCAGCGCAGACAGCGCAATATGATTGAATTTTCGATTGTATGGCGTCGGGGATCTTCGTCTTGTTGGGTTACGGTGTTACACAAACGCCTTTGACACAGACTGTCGGCGGTAGGTACCTACTTATATATACCAAGACGTTTGTGACTAAATATTGGACTCTAGTCGACAACTGGCGAACAAAGGGCAAATGACGCGACATTCGGCGGCCGTCCAAGCGTCTAACATAATATTTACTTATCGTTGCCGATAATATTCCGATAAGGTTTACTGTATAGTATTAGGATTTTTATTAGAAATTCTCAAATAATGTGTCACATCCGGTGATTATAGGATTTCAATTACAATAAAACCGCCAACTGGGCAACTTTTGTTTGTTTTTCTCATTAATGTCGTATGTTATTGGTTGGTTTTTTATATTATATTTGTATTGTTTAAACCGATTAAAGTATAAGCTACTACTATTTTATTATGTTTAATATTTTACTAATGATTATTTTAATTTATATATTTTTAAGTTTTCACTGTTATATAATGTTTTTTTTTTTTTTTATAATATTTGTTTATTAATTCATAACAATATAATATTGTAACCAAATTAAATATTAGTTTAATTCGTTATTCAGTTATTACGTTTACGGCATAGTACCTAATATTATTGAACAGAGGTTCTTGAACTTATTTTGCCACGTATTATTTATATGTACTATGGATCTGTCACGTACCACTTATAAATCCGTCCTAGGATAAAGGGGTCGGGTACAGACACTGTTATAAGTAATTTAATGTACATCTGTTAGCAACGATAAACCATTGCTAACGAAAAAACGATTCTGAGCGAAGTTCAGTTGATAGTGCTACTTTGTCAACAATAAATATGGTAAAATTTCAATTATTCCAATTCTAAAATTTAAATGCATCCCGTTTATCCTACGTTTTTCCCGCATTAACTCCGTTTTTTTTTCGGTTTTTTACATTTGTTGAGAAAACTCCTTAGAAAATTTACAAATGACCTCTTTAAAGTACCTTTCTAGTGAAATTTCTTTTTAGAAAAATTGCTATCATTATAAGTTGTAGCGAAATCGGGTATAGAAAAGTTGTCCACAGAACAAAAAAAAAAATTAATAAACATCTTTGCAAAACCAATTGAACTATTCATAATGCCTTAATATTTATTTCAAAACTATTTGACCAACTAACGTGTGTACTCTTATTTACAAGATAGTAAAATACTGTAATTTAATTGATATAAAAAATATAAAATATGGTATTAGACCAATTAAAAATATTTGCACGAATATGTATTAATTTATTTTCTGTACTGCTACAATGTAGCAGTAATAACACAGAAAATACTAACCTAACCGAACCGTTGTTATAGAATATTGTATTTGAGACCAGTTGTAAACAGTTTGCTGTATAGTTTATATTATTAAAGAGCATACACATTCTGAACAATAGGTACTTACAAATATTTAAATATAATGACATTCAAAGCAATCTGTTATAATTATATACTATAGCTGATGACTGTACTAAATCAATAACATTCGGATCTCTTAAAAAAATAATAATTCCCCGTGAGTAATATGATATTAATCTATAATTAAAATAATTCCAGAATACTTAGTGTAAAATTAAGTTTGCCCTTACAACGAGGCTACGCTATAATTTCAATATACGAGAACACCAAATTAATTATTTGGATATGGTGTTCACAGTTTTTTGACCTGCGATTCTTGAGGGAAGGTTCATTGAAAATCGCCCTGTTATACACTATAGTAGGGATAACCAAATGGCGGCCCGCGGACGAATTTTATAAAACCCTCAGACAAGTAAGAAAAAAAAACGAAAATTTAATACGATATTTTAGTATCGTAATTTTTTATTTTTGAGCAAGATTTTTTATCATTTATCTCACTAAACAATTTTCTATTTTTATTATTGTTAGGTATAATTAATTTTTATTTTACATTGTTTCAAATATTTATAACATTAATTATGTTCTTAATGTTAATAAATAAAAGTAAATAATAAATAAATGACAAAAAAAAAAAAAAAAAAAAAAAATAAAAAAAAAAAAAAAAAAAAAAAAATGATGTTCTCATTACTTTAAATTGTAAAATACATATGTCATATGTATGTTAAAAATATGTATTTTGAATTTTGATGGTCCGCGAAAAATGTATAGATTCCTAATGTGGCCCTTCTAAAATATTAATTGGTGGTCACTTGGACTATATAGGTGTAAACTATGATTATGATGTACCAGATAAATATCTTTTAATATAAATTAACAATTATTATTTTAAAATAAATTGCAATCATAAACTTGTAGTGATCATTATAGCTTGTATCCATATTTTTAAAAATAATATTGTAATGTAAAATGATATTACAAGTATTTACTTTTTGAAGACAGAATTGTATTTTTGTAAATTATAAGCTTCATCCCTTCCCAAACTCCTCTTATACTAATTTTTAAATATGATTTAACGATTAAACACTTACGAAAAAACCGGCTTAATAACTTACTGTAAGTTTAATTTGTTCTGATTAATAGATAAGCGTACATACAGATTGGTAAATTTCCTATAAAGTTTTTTATTTTTTTTCATCTGTCTGTAAACAACTTTTTGCCAAACATTTTGCCAGATTATCAACTTAAGCGGTAATGATTTTTGGTAGAAAAGTAGGTAAAACGTCTGTTATGTTCAATATTATTTTTTTTAATTGAAATGTGAACAATAATTAAAGAGCCATCAAACCACTTATAACTCTTACGTTTGAATTTTCAAAATATTCTGTTAATTTTTATTTTATTTATAGATATTTGAATTTTTTAAGTTTTTTAGGTTTTTATTTAGTTTTATATCATTGTAACTTTTTTAGCACACAGAAAATCCTCGACAATTTAACACAAAAGTTATTATGAGTTACAATTTAATTTATAAAACCTATTCTATTATAATTAATATTATATTTAATTCTATTATATAGAAAAAATGAAAATGCATTTGTTTATAAACGTGTGTTATTTATTATAAAACGTTCGTACAAAAAGTAAAAATTAATTTTTAGAATTTTGGATTTAGTCAATGCATAGAGGAGCTAATTTATTGTTATTCGTTGTATTTTTTTTAATAATGAGAGAAAACTGAAGAAAAATATGAGAAAACGGGAATATTTACGCAATATCAATTTTTGTCAAATCGATTATGTTTTTTCGTTAAAAATAATCAAAAAAGTATTAGCAATTTTGAGACATGGTCGTACACAGTTTTTGAAATATTTTATCACTTGTTTCGAATTTTCGAGATTTTTATTTGTTTTCCAATTTCGTGGGTACATATTCTTGGCCCTAAATTAATGTTTTTTTTTTTTTTTTTTATGAATCTGTATAAATTATAATAATTATAATTATTATTATTTTTTTTAGAGCACATACGCAATAGCGCGAATTGTGTTGAATAGTTTCCTAAATAATAAGAGATTAAGTCGGCAAAAGTTAAAAAAGTCAAGTGCGAATTTTTGTTGTTTTTATAGTGACGTCTATCAATTTTGTGAGATTTCGCGCACACTAGGCCGCGGGCGTCTTGTGTTTATGTCAATCAAGTCCAACTCTTCACTCACGTCTCGCGTCCCAATAATTCACGGGCGTCTCGGGTCCATCAGTTTTTAGAGATTTTGTATATGTGGGCAAATTGTGTTCAATTGAGTGACCGCACTGGTTCCGTGGATGAATGTTTCTATATATACGATCAATTTACGGTGGTTGTGGTTGCTGCGCCGTCGGTTATCGGACGATTGCCCGACAATCGACCTTCGTGTTTCCTCTTACATGCCACTTCCGAATAACACAGGGTCCAATGGATAACAGGGTCCAATGGGTCCATGAATTTGATTCACTAGGTGTGGGATGGGTTCATCAAACGCCCGTTCATCTCAACCCACGTGGCCTGCAATAAGCGCGAACGCTTGTGGATGCACATCTCCCTGTCGAGATTCGGCGGGGTGCATATTTTACAAGTCTCGGTGACCATCGTCGAACTAAGCGGGCGTTTGATGACGCCATACTTTACACTTGGTGCACTTGAAGAACTTGACAGAATTTAACAGATACGTGATAAGGAGGAATGTGGAACTTTTGACGCACAGTCGTCCGATAATTGGCGCCCCAGCAAT